TTTCTAAAGTGCATAAACTTTTGGGATTGACTGAATAGCCAATACATCCTTAAAGGGTCGCTGTCTTGAGAGACGGACGAGATAGATCAGGGTAATCGACGGCGAGTACTCGAAGGAAATACGGTCGTCTTCTTATCACGATCGTTCAGAGGCGAACACCCTCAACCGTTGTTCGTGTTCGGTGACAGTTTGAGAGTCGCGTGTAAGTACACAGTAAGTACAGAGTCGAAGCTGATACGCGTAATAAAAGCCGCACGCAAATCGGAAACGAGGCCGGTTTATTTCCGAACGAATTTATTTCCCTTCCTCCCCGTGATAATCATCACGTTTACGTCTCTCTGTTTAATCAAGTGCCCTTTTTACATTGAACGGACGATTCTCGAGCGTGTGTGCGAACAGGTATGCAAAGGAATTACGGGGAAGATGAGAAAACGTTTGAGATGACGTTGCAAGAGTCCATGCGTGTGCAGTCGAGAACGAGTTTAACGATGGGGAATAATACTTGTACATATGCACGGATTTCGCGCGTGCTGTACATACACCTTGGATGCGGAGGATATTTTATACAGATTGCTGTAGTATAAAGATGAAAAATATGAGCGAGCGAGCGAGCGAATGGGAGAGAGGGAGAGAGAGAGAGAGAGAATATAAGAGAGAAAGATTCATTCCCACTTTTACGACGGTAAAATAAAAAGAGGAGAATATACACAGTGTACAATTCATTTAGTCGATTTAAGTATAAATAATGTATATGCGTATAAAAGTCGGCAACCAGAATAACGTAATACTGAGATAAAAAGTTAAACAGTTGATGGGAACAAGAATTTCGTGTGTGTGCATGCTCGATAAAAAAAAATAGAAAGGGAGGGGCGGGGAAAAACGAGGACACTGAAGACATATCGTACAGCTGACCATCATCGAAAAATGGAAATTAATGACGCTACGGAACGATGAAAATACTCGAAAAGGAGGAAAAAATGTTTTTAAAGATGAAATAAAGATGCGCGAAAAGATTCCCCGTTGCTTTCGTCAGTATGCAGTATTCTGGATTTTATTGTAAGATTACGTATCTGTATAATGTATAAAGTGACGATTTTCCTCCCGAGTAACGTGACCGCGGCTGAATTGAGAAACGGGAAAGGGGGGAAAAGCGATTCTTTGTCTTACTCTGTTTCTATGCTTGTTGAGAATTTCAAAACGGATATATTCATTCGGAGATTGTTATTTAATCGTCGAAGAATAAAAATTATGGACACGAGATCGTCTTGGCTGTAGATCGTAACCATAACCGAATGAAGATATTAAAGGGCACGTCGTGTCGTGCAAAGGTGTTTTTCGCGAATCGCCAATAGGAAAATTCGCGAAAGAAAAGGCGAGTATGTACAGCTTCCCTTGTTGTTAAATTTTTGAAACGACAGAAACGAAATAGCGGAAAGAGTTTTCTGCTTCGGGTCTGTATATGTCTCCACCTTTCCCTAATACGTCTGTGTGCGTGTGAATATTTAAAAGGAGTCGAAGAAAACGAGAAAGAGAGACGAGGAAAGATCTGGATGTATTAAGAAATAAATTCAATGTACGTAAATACGATCGTAGGAAACCGGCGGTGGTCTCACGATCCGCTCGTGTATGTACATATTATCGAGAATTAGACGTTCTTTCGAGTCCTTTAGATGAATGTGTTCTTTCGATCGCTAGTCGTCAAGTTTTATCTTCGGAGACACGGTGTCTGACTGTAATATTTAAAAATTAAAAATGAAATCGCGCCGACAGTGAAATTCGCGCGATCCTCGTTACTTATTAATTGCCATTGATGGAATTGACGTTGGCGCATAGCCAGTGTACTAAGAAGGAACTTTACTAACCGTTACGAAACACCCATTTCTTCTTGTATTAAACGTTCTACGCTGAAAAAGGCTGAGTAACAGATGAATAAACAAAACGATGCGATCATTCCCAATACGATTAAAATATAGATAATGCGTGTCGAGTACGAACGAGATCCGGTTCTGCGAACAAGAGTCTCGCCAGCGGTGAGAAACAAATCTTCAAACATACAACTGCCAACAAAATCTTTTTTATAATTTATTCGAATACAATTCTCTGCCACGATCATCAACGAAACGGTTTACGTATTATGCTGAACGCTTGTCGGTGCTGATGACAACGTTTCGTTTCACGTTCTCTTGTTCAACAGAATCGACCAGCATCCGCGTTCCATTCTTCCTCAATCGAATTTCGGGTATCTCTAACGAATCGAACTGCGGAGGGAGCCGAACCTCTGTCTCACCGATTCATCGATACTCTTACGCTCTTGTCCGTCAAAGGTGCAGATCACCAGATCGCGGGGCGGCGGCCATATGGTGTCTGCAAATTTCAACCGTTTGTAAACAATTGAAACTGTGAATGTTGAACGCGTTCCCGCGTGGAGCTATCCCTCTAATGCAGAGTCATTTGGTCAGTATTCGAAACGTCTTGTGGTCTTTACGTGCGGAAATTGTAAATACGCTGAATGAGCATGTTGATGGATATCGTTTGAAACGACTGAGAAATCTGGCCTTACTTTCAATCGTTGAGTATATGACATTATTGTACAGTGCGATTCCCTCGTCAAGTTGTTCATTAATTGTACGCTGTACGAGATGGGAAGCAATTCGATGTGAAATGGGATGATGATACTTTGCACAATGATTTTTCAGTTTGATCACGCATAAAACATTCACGTAAAGATTGTTATTTCGGAATCTTTGTACAAAGTACTATCGTGAACTGCACATCCCGTCTTGTATGGGTCACGTATATTAATACTATATGAAACGTTATACATACTACGCGCTGAATGTTGTTTTACATCTGTTTCGACATGATAAATCCTGTTTGAAATAATAAATTACTGTTTATTTAATCGATAAGTAATGAATCCGTTGCATTTAGAAATAGGGATTCGCGCGACGACCACAAAATATTCAACAATACCGAGACCAGCGTTTGCACATCAATTTGCTTCGTTACCATGTATCTTGACAGTAGCCAGGGATAAGAGCCAAAGAAATCTTTTTAGACTAATAAGTACAAGTACATGGAAGCACCGTTTCAACGTCTGTAAATCTTTAATATGATATCGAGTCTGACCAGCTGCTTTCGCGGAAGAGAAAAAGAAAATTAAAGTGGAAACCGTTTGAATCAAGTTTGTATATGTAATTAGTTTAGCGATATCTGACAACAAATTTCATGTACCCTATAAAAGGAGACTTTTTTTGATATTGTAAATACTCTGAAATAAATAATCGTTTTTATTCAATCGACGATTTCTACTTTCTTCCAAAATCCACAAACCTTGGAAACAATTGTATTTAAAATTATAAAGTACTATTACTATTGAGCTTGCAGTAGTGTTACCTGAATACAGATTAACGAGCGGGACCGAAGAATACACTTTTAAATACTCTTTGACCGTCAAAAGAACAGGGCTGTCTATGTTTAATAAATATTCCAACAACGTACTTTCGGGATAAAGTCTCGAAATCTTATCGTTCAAGTTCCTCACGACATCCTTCATCGGGACCGACTTTGCAGAAATATATTTATATTAACTCTCAATCACCCAGACTTGTGAATCTATCAATTATTTCACTCACGCGATCGCGGACCGTACTCGAGATATAATCGCAAAACGCGTATATTTTCCTGTAACAATTGGACATTTGCACTTGAATATCCTCCAACTCGTAGGATTCTATTTTTTGTATCAACGTTGGCGGTATAGTGAACACGTGGAACCATCCCGAAAAAAATCTCTGCAAATTTCGATGCAAACATTTATTGCTCTTTTCGTTTCGTGTAACGCAAAACTCACTTGATGGACGTGGTGATAAGTCGGAAGAAAGATTGATTGCAATATTTCACAGTCTTGGATCTTATCGTCGTGCAATGATTTGAAATGTCTATAAATTATATCTTCCGGTGCCTATATATTAACAAAGCCGAATTCCCGTAAAAGAATTTATATCTAAACTCTTTCTTAAACACTCGATTAGCGAAATTAAAGATGACACACCTCTAGCATATGAATATAATATTGCGGATAAACGAGAAACAAGCCAGTAATCGACAGGTTAGTGTACTCTGCTTGTAAACGACGTATTATAGATTCCATTTTCTAGAAATTGCATTTATTCCAACTATATCCGTATATGGCTTTCTGACTTCGTCTATACAAAATTGTACCAACTCTATTATACACGTACCTCTGCCAGCGTGGAATTTGAGCCATAATACTCTCCGATATAGACGATGCGTGTAATATACATACTCTAAATATAATTTTTCTTACCGTTAATAATTTCTTAAATATACACTGACACGTAGTTAACGACACAGCACACATGTTTTTGAAGTAAAAAGTTTCAAAAACATGGAGGGGCAAAGGTAGAGGTCACTCTAGGCAGGCACAAGCGCACAAACAGCGTATACAAATTTTGCGAAATAAAATTTAAAACAACAAAAGATGTAAAATTATCATGGAATTAGACAACAGACAAATAAATGATACTGTACCCTGCCAGCAGCACGAAGGTTTTTTCTGACAACGTCCAACAGGCTACTCCGAGCGGGTTCAGACACGCGTTTCATGATACACACGCGTTTTAGACAGCTACTTGAAATCTTCCTCAAGCTCGCACGAACGTTAGACAGTAATCGAGTAACTTATTATTCTTATTTGGACCGGTAACTGTTTATTGACACCACTTGATCAACGAAATTCTTGGAGTCGCGTACAGACGCAACGCACTTTAAAGACAATTGCCAAACTACTACGCTGGTCAGTAACATACTTTTCGTAATCTGCGGTTCGTTTATTTAATACTTTCTTAAATATACACTGACACGTAGTTAACGACACAGCACACATGTTTTTGAAGTAAAAAGTTTCAAAAACATGGAGGGGCAAAGGTAGAGGTCACTCTAGGCAGGCACAAGCGCACAAACAGCGTATACAAATTTTGCGAAATAAAATTTAAAACAACAAAAGATGTAAAATTATCATGGAATTAGACAACAGACAAATAAATGATACTGTACCCTGCCAGCAGCACGAAGGTTTTTTCTGACAACGTCCAACAGGCTACTCCGAGCGGGTTCAGACACGCGTTTCATGATACACACGCGTTTTAGACAGCTACTTGAAATCTTCCTCAAGCTCGCACGAACGTTAGACAGTAATCGAGTAACTTATTATTCTTATTTGGACCGGTAACTGTTTATTGACACCACTTGATCAACGAAATTCTTGGAGTCGCGTACAGACGCAACGCACTTTAAAGACAATTGCCAAACTACTACGTTGGTCAGTAACATACTTTTCGTAATCTGCGGTTCGTTTATTGTATTAATCTAAATTGTTTATCGAGACGTCACAGTCGTTCATTAAATTATATTTTTCAAAATATAGATCTTGAAATAAATTGATTCAGCATTCCAAGTAGATTCGGGTTATAGGCGTACATCGTTTATACATTCTGATTCACGTAGTTTATGATTTCTATTTCGTACGCATTCTGTAAAAAATATTTCCGTCTGTATTTTCACAAATGTATTCTTTATTTTCTCGCAATATAAATACATCACTTTGTGACGAAAGGAATTGTACTTGTAAAAAACAAAGTTTTCAAGACTCACTCGAAATGACGTGTAAATCATTGTTATAAATATACGTGAATGTAAAAAAAAGTGTCGTCACTAGTACCTGTATAATTAACAATTGCTGCTTGTTGTCACATTGTTACAGGATGGTAAGTAAATCAAGTTCACCACAAACGCAAGATCATAAGTTATTTGCTTTCATACATTGTTAGTATTAGCAAGGGCAAACAATTCGAAGAATGCAGTCTGCATTACTTCTTTACCTTTGGACATTCTAAAATTGGAGGCGGAGGTGGGGTCGATTCGCTAGGATTTCCTAGCCATACAGAGTTACTGAAACGACCTTTTATAACAGGTGGCTGCCATTTATTGCTGTACATGACTGTAGCTGTAGGCTTCTCTGCAATCACTGTTGCTATAGTTATTGCTCTGAAAGTGAAATAAAGCTCATTTAAACAGTGACGAAGCTGTATGCTGATCATTGGCATGCAGTTGATTAGTGTCAGTTAGCAGACCAGCATACAATCGTGTTAAAGCAATAGCGTAAAACTTGCTCTATTATAATATAATTGAAATTAAAAAGTATGCTTTTTACCACGAGGTAAATGCATTTTATTCAAGTACTTTGAGGTAGGACGAAATAAAAAGGTGTATTATAATGTACAAACAGCATTTATTAATGAAAAAAGTGCATTACAAATTGAATAAAGTATGACTTTTGACCAACATTTCCCAAAGTATGCTCTCGTACGTGTACATGATAACCAAGTATTTACAATAACTCTGATGTTGAGATGTATAAATAAGCAGCTAATAAACCTGCCGAAATTTATTATAGTACAAAAGTTCCTCAACATGTTCCTTGCCAAGCCCAAATGGCAAGGTATACCGTTTTATCGAACTGTACAAAGTTAATATGAAAAGATAAACAATTTTAATTTATCAAGACCGCTCTCAACAATTATACATTAAAATAAGATTTGTTACAAAAGTGTGCTGCGAAATATATGCTTTATGCATTATACCTATCTTATTTAACAAAAAGATACAAATTACTCAAACGTAATGTAATGCCGTGAAATCATAATCTGTCTGTCTCTAAAAATGAGGATAGTATAATTTTATAAGAGATAAAAGAGTAACCAATTTATATGCTGTATCAATATAAATTCAATATATTTTGCACGCTGCGTGCAGAACGATGTGAAATTATAAATTGGTAGGAAAGATGACTATGGTAAAAAAATAAATCGTTTACTCTAATGCCAAGGCACTTGATTTGGATGACTGATGGAACCCAGTTTGTAGTACCTTGTCGTTGAAGGTGTTTGTTGCATTCCCGTCGCATGATTCGGTGGCGTCGCTGCCGTAGGAGTTTCAGCACTTTGAGCAGACGTGCCGTCACCTTTTAAAACGGCAACGCACTTCCAATTGTTAATATAGTTGTCTTTCCATAATCGAACGCAACCGTCGTCTCCAGAACTCGCTAAAATCGTTCCCATTATATTCCAGCACACTCGCCACACGGTAAAATCGTGATCAGAGAACTGTGCCGCCAGATTGATATCAAAGCGTGGCGCACCACTTTGCGCGCTATCCCTGCATGAACAATATTTTCGTATAGGTTCCTCCTTGCGTGATTTGAAAGTTAATTTCTTCTTTATACTTACACCAAAGGTTTTAACGTAATTATTCGTACATCTTTTGATGCAATTGCCAATGTGTGAAAACTTCTACCCAGATTTGGCGCGAACGCGATATCATGGACAGGATCGGTAACACTGCTTAACGTTTCTGTTCTCGCCCATCTCCTGCTTCCTTCTGAATATTCATATATGAAAACTTTTCCCCCAGACGATGGGTTTTGGTCATCGCTTCCAACTGCTATCATTGGAGGATGCAATCTGATTGAAAACAATTGAGAAGGAACACCATTTGAAACATACGTTTGATTTGTATCGTGTTCAATTATGATTCATGGACGCACCTCGATAGAGACGGATTCCAGGAAAGGCAGCTACATTGCAATTTGCAACTGATGTCGTGCTGAAGAGTCCATTGACTCAGATTCATGACATCGGGAGCTTCGTATATTCTGATTACACCATCTTCACTGCAAGTAGCTAACAGAAGTCCCAAAGTTTTAGGTGCGAATTTTATATCCGTAACAGACTTTCTGGAATCAACCAAGTTTGTTCTCCTAACCCAGTGCCTCATGCCACGTTCCCCTGGTCCAGATCCCTCTCCAACTGTAGATGATACATGATCGTTGGATAAATTAATCATAATCAATTTAAATAGAAGAGCTTTACCTATCTCTTCCCAAACAGCAGCTGTTCTATCGAAAGAACAGGTAGCAAGTACTTGGCCAAATTCTGGATGAGCCCATGTCACTTTCCACACAGATCCACTATGAGCTTTCCAGGATGCAGTTAAATGCCAGTTACCATGTTCATCCTCATCCCAAACCTATAATTTTATAATGATTTCATTAATGATTAAATCAGAAACATTTGTGCCTCAAATAAAATGACTATACACTGTAAGTTCTTACTTTTACAAATTGATCACTGGAACACGTTGCCATGCGTTGCCCATAAAAGTCATAAGCAATATCATGAATCAAGTCCTTATGCTCGGCATTAATACTATGCGCCTCAAACATGTTTAAGTACTTTAAATATTACGAAATAAATAAACTTTGATCGACGATATTTGTGTAGATATTAATACACGTAAGAGGTTAGACGATTTAATTTAAAGATTTTAGTAGAATCAGGCAAACGCCGAAATATCAAAGCTTTATATTTTTATTAGTTCAATATATAACTCGAACATTACTTTGAACAGATATCTCTTTTGATAGTTTAGTTAAACTTTTGCATTGTTAAAAAGGAGGGAAAACCATGAGGGAAACACAGTGCCCTTTCCATTTATTAAAATTGTTTATATCATCCACGGTCGCACTAACACGACAATGTACGTTCGGAATCTTCAAATGAAACAGCAAATATTATATTGATGAAGAAACGTTTTTTGATTTATATTTTGAAATTCGTAGTTTTCATCACATATTATTCGAATGCATTACAATAAACCGGTGCATCGTAACCACGAACTTCATTATGCGAGATTACTATGGCCGGCGCTGTTTCGGTCCATGAATTAAATGCAGAATCGTTGTGTGGTTTGATAAATAAACAATAATAATGGGTATAGATTTCTGGATTAATCATGACAGGAATGATTCAGGTTCAAATAAAATGTTTTATACAGAGTTAATAATTTATTTATGTACATTCTTAATAAATGATCATTTTTGACATAATGTATTCCTTGCTACTAAATTACTGCAATATGAAGAAATTCATTCAAATGTTGAAAGTATATATAATTTCTCTGTATGTTGAATTAATGATATTTGGGTCTTATAAATTTTAGCATTTGATTCTTCCTCAGAAGTGCTCTTTTACGAATGTATCTCCAATATTGTTTTGTATTTGGATCTAGATCTGACAATTTTGGTGGTTCTGTCCTAATATTCCACAGCCATTCAGGATACTCAGAATCCGGCTTCAGTTTGATGTCTTCTCCTTCTTTATAAATATTTGATCCACAACAGTAATTTATTAACTTATTGACATCCTTTTCAACTGGTAAGTGTATTTTTTGACTTTTCATCACTCTCTGTTTCCTCTTATCGATTGGAGCTATAAATAACATGTGCAAAATATTATTATTAATATGTATTTATTTTTTTCTATGACACAATAATTCAATCAAAATCCAATAATAATTTTGTAGACAAAACAAACTGAACGACATAGGAAAATGAGTTGTGAATTTAAAGCACGTGAAGCTTAACCTTTCGTTAGATGAAATATATCAGTATTTGAAAATCACGTAATGATTTACTAATTCGTAATATTACCTGCATAATTTTTTGTCTGTATCGCGTACTGTGCAGGAACGACAACATTTCCTCCGATTCGTGATAAACGTAAAACAGTTAAAAGAGACATAGCGTAAATATATATATATATTTACAAATATAAACAAGGAATGCAGCAATCTTCACGCTGAAGCAGATGATCGAGATATCGAGATGCTAAATTCGTGGCATTCCATTTCCTACCCACCATTTTCCTACCTATAAACATAGAATTCTGTGGCGTTGATTATACGAGTTGCGGCGTGTGACGTGTGGTAACGTGTCAAATCACGCATTTTATTTAAGCGAACTGAACTGTACAATATAAAATAATCTTTTAAGGTAATCATCTCCTCTTTAATCAGTTCTTCCTCTGCGTAAAGTTTTATTCGTCATAAAACAAGTACTATGATATAAATTAGGCTAATAACGTTTCAGATGATCACAGACGTTCAGCTGGCTATATTCTGCAACATTCTTGGAGCAACGTTATTTTGCCTAGTCTTTCTCTTTCACTACATAACTGCAAACTATAACAAATGAAGGGTTGGCAGGTTATTCCTGTCTAATTCATAAGCTGAACCATGTGTGCATTGTGTATCTTCGCAATGCATTGTACTGTTGAAGATGTGATCAAATAAAATAACAAATTTCATATTAAATAAAACTGCTTTTATTCATCTTATGTTACAATTAATAGAAAATGTAGCCTAATTTGACAAGTAGCGTTATAAAAACATTTCCTTTGACAGCATCCATAAGGATGAAAATAAAGCACCATCCACACGCTGATCGATGCACAGAAAAAGTTGAAACACGCAAAACTCGGCCACGTGACCCGGCCGTGTGCACCAGAGATCCACGATCCACCTCATCTCTGGCGAACACTCTCTTAGCTTATTTCTTCTGTAATGTATATGTACACGCACATATACGTGCATATAAACATGATTCATTGTAAGATTCATGCGTTGACCTTTTATCAAGCCTTCGCGGATTTATAAAGATTCATTTCATTCATTCCCATCTTGTAAATTCGAGTAATTATAAAATTCGTCGAAACCCGCATAAAAAAAACAGTGTAACGGTGTTTGTACATGTAAAACGCACACATCTCCGTTTACTGTCACCTGCTGTCATTCTTGGGAGTAACCTCGACGAATTATTCGTTATTAAACTCCTACGTGAGATTATGTGAGATTATTGCATTAATTCTTTTGATACGTAACAAGAAAAATGTTTTCGAGCGGACCGAATTACACGAAACTGAAGACGCATCTGCGTCTGGCGATAAATCGGCTGAAATTACTGGAGAAAAAAAAGACCGAACTGGCTCAGAAAGCCCGGAAAGAAATAGCCGATTACATTGTCGCGGGTAAGATTGAAAGAGCAAAAATACGGGTCGAACACATCATCAGGGAAGATTACATGGTCGAGGCGATGGAACTGATAGAAATGTATTGCGATCTCCTTCTCGCGCGTTTCGGATTGATTCAACAAATGAAGTAAGCGGTCATTCCTAAAGAAACTAAACAGTGATATAAATCGAGTTTGTATTGAAACAAATACGATTCCAGAACATTGGACGAAGGACTGGCAGAAGCTATTTCTACGATAATTTGGGTTGCTCCTAGGATGCAGACCGATGTTCAGGAAATGAAAGTAATAGCTGACATTTTGTCATCAAAGTACGGTAAACAGTATACGGACGCTTGTAGAGAAGAAGCTGTACAGACGATATCAGAAAAATTGAAGCACAAGATGAGTGTTCAATCACCTTCCAAGCTTCTCGTGGAGAAATATCTCATAGAGATTGCAAAGAATTATAACGTTGAGTACGAGCCAGATCCACAGGTAAAGATGAGACACGCTATATTAATTCGTTGTGTTTATACCTGTGTTAATCGTAACGTCACAGGTGATGGCAGAAGGCAGTGGTCAAGATGCTCTGCTGATAGATGTTGGAAATAGTGGAGAAAGAAATAATTTGGACACGGCTTGTGGAGGCTTTCCTCAGCCAGCAGGATTTATCGGTTTCCCTCAGCCTCCGCTATTACCAAATCCAGCGACTAATTTTATTGTAAATAATTCCATCTTGTTCGAGTTGGTTCTTTTAATTTGTATCTCTGACAAAATCAATTGTTTCGTAGAATTCAGAAAAGGGACCCATGGGATTTGTAGCACCTTCGGGACCTCCCGAAGATAAAGATCAAAATTTTCCCTACAATCCTGTGTCGTACAACATTCCCTTGGACAACTCGAACGGAAATAAACCCGTAAGTATTATAACATTCGAGTCGTTTGTGATTGATAAAGATTGTCAAAGATGAATAACGAATTCTGATTTATCAAGGAAAATGATTTACCGCCGCCGTATGGTTCATTTCCACCTGATTTAAATAAAGAGGTAATTCCGCAATGTCAAGTGCAATTGTACGAGTCGTTTAGTTTCTTTCGATTTGTTACATTATCGTTTTACATTGCATTTCGTTTTGATTATATTTCTTATATATACATGTTTATTTATGATTTCTTATTACAGTCTGACCAGAAACCGAAACCGCAACCGCGATCGAAAATGCCGATGAATGATTTTCAGCTTCCAGATTTGCCAGCCGTGCCGTCCGAGAATGATTTACCGTCGAATAATCCGTCTACCAGCGAAGATGTCGACTTTGATGATTTAATGAAGCGTTTCGAGGACTTGAAAAAGAGAAAATAGCTTCTCGTCCTCGAGAAAACTCGTTGCACACAAGCGTATTTTAACATCGATTACGGTTGGATCCTCCAAACGGACATTGAAAAATAACTTTGAGCATGGTAATCGAGAAGCTTGTATTATACAAGGAATTCTATGTATAAAAAAACAAATGTAAAATAGCAATCCACAACGGTTAGTGTCTACAGAGATTGTGATAAAAAGTTCGCAAGCTTATTTTTAAATGCTTTTATTGTTTTGTATGCATAAATAAATATACATACAATATTATTATCGTACAGACATCGTTAATATTTTGTTTTAATTACGAATTTAATTTTCCCAATCTTCGCAATTCTAAAATAAAATTTCAACAATTAATTTCGATTTATAATTGCTGTCCATAAACTCACCTGTTGCCCCTTCTCAGCTAAGCAAGTCAACAGACTCTGCGAGAATTCGCACTTTTCTTGTTTTTTAAATTCCATATATCGGAAACATTCGCTGATCGATCCTTCGATGAAATCTTTCAACTCTGGGTCTTGAATATTTTGGCTCATCAACGGGATCACTAAATCTTTATCCGGGAATCCCTTCTGGTCCACCTATTATTCAACGAATGATGACGATGCTTAAAACCAATAAACTTACTTTGATATTTAAAAACGATATCGTACGTACAGCGTGTAACTCACTGAAGAAACATTGCACGACGCACTGCAACAAATTACATGGATTATCAAACGAATAAAACGAACGAATAATCGACTCTTACTCCTTGCTCCCGGTCTGCACTATTGTTGAACCGAGTATTCCCGTTGTTTATACGCGTGTCTCGCGAATTCCAAGAGTCGCGATCGTTGGTTTTATGATTGTTTCTCATATTTTGTGAATCTCTGACATTTCCATTGATTGAATGATCGGACGAACGAGTATTTGTATTGCCATTCTTATCAGCATTCCTATAGATGAATCAGTCGTTAAATCTTGTTTCGTAATTGACTTCTCAACAATCACACCTGCCGTCTCTCTGGTTGTTCATCGACTGATTGTAGGATCTATTGTCATCCTTCTTATAATAGAAATTTTTTTCGTACACATTTTCCTCGGAACCGGAATTGCTGTCTGAACTGCTGGACTCGTCCATGGACATGGAATCCTCCCCGTTATCCGAGTTCGAACCAGCGTAACGACTCCTGCATGTTCTCAATACTTTTTGAAAATGCGCGTCCATTTGTTGATTCCCGGAACGACATCTCAATGACTGAAAATAATCAAAATAATGAAGAATATCATCATACAATGCAGAATCGAGTTTTTACGAGTGACATACTGCTCCTCCGCGAAACAAACATAAAATGATGAAACACAAAGCAAACGGAATGATATTTTTCATGATACCCGTCATCTACACGAATTAACTTACGATTATTGAAACCGTGTTTCATTCGGCCAAATATATAGACGAAATCAACAGGAAAACATGGAGCTGCGCTAATTAACTTGTCAATTTATCTTTGAAAAGAGTTTGAGTTCAGTGGATGTTTACAGTGACACACGACGTATCGTGAATTATTCTCTTCCGCTTTATACGTGAATTGTGCAATTCTTTATGAAACGTATGACACGTTTGTCATTGTCTTTTTGTTACCCTTTCATAGCCAGGAAAACTGATTTCATAACACTGAACAAAAAGCATTAGGGACACGCATTACGCCATTCTGATGTTTGATAGTAATACAATTTAATGTATAGAAATGCGGGAATATTAGAACAGTTTTATACATAAATTTATAGATACAATAAAAGGCATAACGTTGTTTGCCGCCAATTAGTTTGTCGGTTCACTGATTTATTCCAACCGATCGATTGGATATGGATGGGTGGGAGAATGATCTGAAAGTCGGAGGTAATGCGAAAGTGATCGCAAGACAAAACTAGCCGCGGACAGTATTCGTGAGAATTTTACAAGTGAATTGATATTGGAAACACGAAATGCATATTAAACTTCTTGTAAGTAAAGAAATAATTCATAAAAGTTTCCTGTTCATATCTACGCTTTCCTCGAAGTTCAGTTTTGAATATCAAAAAATTGAACTTCGACGAAGATTTCGTTCAGCAACATTTCTCATACCATTTGTTTGAGAGTATATTTTCTTTTCGATATTGTTATTTATTCGTTGAAACTATCGTTAAAAACAAAGTAAACGTCAGTGTTCGATCACGAAAGATCAATGAACCACGGAAGCGCGTGAAAGCGAAACTAATGCAAGATCAGAGGCAAGTTACAAGCATATCAAGTTCAGAATATCAATAATTTGTCTTTCGGTTTGTCTTTTTATTTCGGTTTTGTATATAGTTTAACTTGTATAACGACTATCTTTACGTTATTCTGATCTGTTTAGTTTATACTGAACGCGGTTCTTACATTCGCGATCGACGTTTCGTGGGCCGGCAATCAACAATCTTACGGAAAGAGTAAGCAATTGTCGTTGAATCACGGTCACGATACGATAGCCAGGAGGAACGATAAACAGCCGCGAGCGCAGAAAACCAGGGGAGACAAATCGGTAATGGATAAACGTGAAAAAGTCCATAGAGAAGAGACTTTAGACCCGTGGAACTTGTCAGCCGATGCAGATCGCATACAATTTCAAATAGAAGGCCATAAGGGACCACAGACGTACATATTTGGATTCGATACTGGATACGGGTATATAATTGTTTTTATATTCGCTGGATTATAATTTCATTTAGATCCGGGGAATAAAATTAACAATTTTCATTACTATTTTATAAAAATTAGATTTATTTATTTATTACAAACGCTTAGTTTAAAATCTGTATACGTACATACACAATGTAAATCGTTACACATTCGTAAGAGATATTTAACTTACACGCGATACGTACAATTATTTCCAGGAAAAATAGACAATACAGATTAGAAGAGAGGCACCGGAATGGTACGATAAAGGGACAGTACGGCTATTACGATGCGATGGGTAAATTAAGGAGAGTCAAATACATTGCCAGTCCTTTGGAAGGGTACACAGAGATACATCATGAGAGTAACGTACAAAGGATAGAAAAGTAACTATGTTCAATGCATTCTTCAAGACCGTAAACAATCAGCTTAAAAAAATTGACGTGCTTAAAAAAAAAAACAATTCATGGAATCAAATCCTTTATTTAATAATAACAATAACTGCATAAGTAATCACAAATAAAATGAACTGATAGAGAGAAGTTTTTTTAGTAGACGTTATACATTACACATTCACGAATCCCACATTTTCGAGACGTGAATATGTACGTATATTTTTCTGTACAATAGCATTGTACTCGCCGGCTTTCAAAAATGTTTAATAAATATTAAGTAAAAATATATGTTTATGAATGTTTAAAAAAAATCTCAATTAATATTTGTGCATAGATGAATAATTATTTATGTATAAAAAAAATTCTTTCAAACTAAATAAATAGCTTCAAAACAACATTTAAAAACTTGTAAGTTTCATCGGAATGTTTCCCAAATAATCTAAAAGAATCGCATCTCTTTTCAACAGTTGTCACATTCCAAAAATTTACAAGTTTGAACTAAACAAAAACGGATCTTCAAGGCTCCGAAATGTTAACAAAATTCATAGAGAAACAAAAACAGCTGATCCAACATGCTATTTTAATCGTAACAATACGCGCCTTTGAAACGTTCGATTACATCTTCGCGCAAAGTTCCTTCAAAGTACTGTATACCTGTAGTCTAAAACTAGTAACCCGTTACAACCCACTACTAAATTAGATTAGCAATGATCATTACACCCACTATATTCCACCGATTGATCCCCACCACTAAGAATTATAGTTGACACGTCGACTGTCAGTGGAAGATTACATACAGAACGAAGCGCACCTGCTGAATTTTTGCGTAAAGTTCGTACATGATAAATAGCGATGACAGTCGACGCGTTAATAGGGATATGCGGATCGTCCCGAGCTCCAAGAACGAACGGAAGAATTCGAACAAAACTAGAAGACGTATTACTGGAGATTCTAAAATTGTCGGGAATCGCAGACTAAATTAAGGTTCCTCAACAGGGACAAAATTTTAACGTCCCGCTTCAATTCTGTGATCTCTCGGGTAATCGCACATGCCTAGCAAACAACGATATGAGTATAATCTCCAAATTAGACTAGCGTGTATGTATTGCTATAGGAAGAATACAACACGTTTTCGAACGCTCGAGAAAAATATTTACCGCTTTCGAACTTAGATCATTACGTATTTATGAAAGTTGATCTTTGATTTTGTGAATCCAGAGGAATGATATAATAGCGATCACGTGGATAAGATATCTTATTTGGAGATTGTACCGTCTAAAACCCAAATACTACTGTAACGTGTCCCCCCACGTAGTGATTTGTACAAAAAGTAATCGGCCTACGATACAGTGAAGACAATTTGGAAATATCAGCTGTGATAGTGGTCCGAAATTTTCTACACTGTATTTTCGTACTTGCTTTACCCTTTAGTTTGACTTTTTCCCATCGGTCCCGTATGACGATGATTTACTGATCTCGGAAGCTGATATCGCCTTTTGCATGAGCATGTGGACTAAAATTGCAACAGTGATATTAATCTTTTAACGATACGAATAATACCGTACTAAGCGTATTGATGGATACTTACAAAGCACAATGATGGCTACACCAATCGAGAAATAAAAGATTGATCCGGATAACAAAAGACTGATCAAATGATGAAGTATCGGTAATAGAATTACTGTCGACCAGACGACTGTATTCAAACACGATCGTAATCTTGGTTTCAATTCATATTCTTGCATCCTGGGCACTCCACTCGTTGCAAAAAAGTCGCCCGTTTTTTCGAAACTCTCTGCTAAACGGTCCTGAAACAGAAAAATCCAAAGGTTGATTTACGTAAAGTGAAATACATCGAATTAAATCAAGTAGCATACTTTTCTCTGAAAAAGTTCGTGCAGCCATTTCGCAGCAGCTTCTTCTTCCCTCGGCACTTCTTCCAACGGAATCCTTCTCATGTACAAATGCGCGTTCACTGGTTTTCCCAATAGCAAATTCGTAATCGACGGTTTGTTGGGTTCGTTCGACTTGAAATGTACTTGCACGTCATAAATAGCGGGAATCTTGCCACGCATATGGGGTATACTTGACACGAAACCCTTCGTTCGTGGCGTCAAGTGATGTTTCAACACCGGAAGACCCTTTTCTTGGGCAAACTTTTGACTGGCCTCTAATTTTTGCTCTGTGAAACGTGTTCCCTCAGGGTACAAAAGTAACTGCGAAGGTCATTTCAAGTAAAATAATAAAATCCGAAAGTGATTTGAAAGAAACGCGTACGAAAATTGACAGGGACAGCTTCGCGACAAACGGAATAAAAACAATCTCACGATGAGAAAATGTCAATTACCCATATACTGGTTGGATAATTAGCAAGTTCCGTGATCTGCGTACGAATTATTTCTTGATCCTTCTTCCAGTCCCGTTCCAGGAATATTAACTCGGCGAATTTCCATGCCCAGCCTACTGTTGGTATATACTGTAGCGATTTCTTCGCGTATGCTTTACAATTCTAAAAAACACGGACAATTTCAAAACACCCGAGTGCGATCGTTACGTGGAATTACTCGAGTGCAACTAACGCCCAGTACTCCGACTCGTTCGGCCATGGCCCATCCAGAGAGCCAGTCAATCTCGTAACGGTGGTTCATTATTAAATACGCGTGTTCCTTTCCAAAATGTTCCTCATAATCTTTTTGCTCCATGTAAGTGATAGTCTTTGAATGAGACCACCAATCTACTAGGAACACCAGCTCTGAAAATTGAATCGGATTTCACGGCATACATTAAACAACAATTACGCCAAGGTGCATCGAGACATGCAGTGCTTTTAATGCGACAAATAATGTTATCACAAAATGATGGACTTACGAGCATAAAAGGAGTAGCAGAGATAATAGTTAATCTTTCGATAAAAGTATCTGGAAAAAGGCCTAAGGCTAACGTATAAACAGAGCTGGAAGAAATTGATTATCAAGCCTGATGTAAAAAATGTTATGGCAAACATCAGGTGTGTCATGTTGGATGAAATAAACATTGCCAGCAACCCCATTTTTCAAGATTTCTTTTTTTCTGTGTCTATGTGCGTTCAATGAAAGTAAATCATACATACGTATCTCTTTAATCCCTTTAATTTTAATGCCTGTAACAAAAGGAGAACGAGAGAATTAAATCGATCAAACAAATATTAGTTTTCGATTAAAACTTGGAGCGAAACGTTGATTTCTTTCTATCTTATCAACATCGTAGTAATGTTTTTAAATGATTCCATGAAAAAACGAACAATATTACAGTACGAATAATAAATATGTAAATGACATTTATAATTGTTATCACCACGCATTACTAATTACATAAGGAACTCGATAATAAAATCAATTTTATGTTTCTTAAAGCGTAACACATCGATTATTGAGCTATTGAATTACGCATTATTTACAAAATAATTTTAGAAACAGGCTGCATAACCCTCACATCTCGATGAGAAGCCTTCGAAATACTTATTGTTGAATAAAAGATGTTACAAAAATATTACGAAAACGTTCCCCAAAGTGTAAACTTACATAATTTCGGGAAAGAACAAAAAAGTCACAGACATTAATCATCATTGTCTCCAGGAAAGTAATTGCATGAGTAATCATTACGAACGCGATAATGCGAAGAATTTCGGATCGAAGAATGATTGAAACAATTTACGAGGGATTGTAATCGGTACGATCTATTAAAAAGCTGACTTGAATTCTTGTGAGACAGTGCGGCGAATTGTGTAACAATATTTCTCACAAACTCACCTGATTCGAATGATTTTTAAAAAAAAATTTGTCACGCGACACGACCGAGTTTCATTCACAAAGTGCTCTCAGTTCTCAGTTCAGAGGTTCAGTTCAGAGTCACTACGATTCGGAGAGAGACTAGTAATAATAAACGTAGCGAGCAACGATAGAAGAGGACGAAAGTTTTCAAGAAAATGTGTTAATTCGCTGTTATGCGATGTTATAGTCGGTTATACTCGGGCGTCGACAGAGTGGAACGAAACGACACTGATTGGCCGAATGGTCATCAACTCCTTATCATTGGAATATGAATCGTTTACTGATTCCGATGAACAAGCCAGTTTATTATTAGGTGAACCTTACATCCAGACTTAGTTCAGTAATATAAAAAGATAATTATGCAATAATGTGAATATGAATGATTGTGACTGGCACATTTGATTCTTAGGGGTTGGACTTTCCTAAGCGATTAGCAATCGTGTTATCTAAACTGTGCTCGTCAGAAGGATTTTTAGATGCGAATCGAATCTCGTACTTTGGCACTGATGTTTGTTTTAGTATACCAAACCTAGATAACATACTCGCAAGTCTCGGACACCGTTCTCATTTGTATTTTCGATATAAAAAGATTTTGGATTATGAATATATAATAGTATACGGCAAGTACAAGTTTATAAAGCTTCATTACGCACTCATCATGTAATTACACACAGCAACAGGTTAAACTACTATTTCATCAATTTTTGTCATGTCTAATTTACTGTCTATACTTACTAATTACTAATGTAACGTCATGTAATAATTAATTGTACGATAAGCGCGTAATAATAAAACTTTATAATCCAAAATCTTTTTATATCGAAAACAAAATTACCATCTCAATAATCTTTTATTACATTTAATTACATTAAAATTAGGTTTTGACAATGTAATAATATCATCGTATGTATACAATAACGTCGGTATAAAATTATCAAAAGATATTCTAAATAAATAAAATACGAGTGGTAAAATCGTTTTTATACATCGCTTACTTAAATCATCTACCGTTAAAATTATAGTTTCACGTCCACTGCTGTACAATTATTATAGTCTTGTATGAAAAATCTTACAGAAAAAATACATCTGCTATTTACAACCATGACACCATTGCCATTAAACATTTCTATGTTGCATCCGTAGACATTTTTTATCTGTCATTTATATTTCGACACTTTCTGAATATGCTGCTTCTTCGACTTTTTGGCGTAATTATAATGGTCTGCAAAAACATACAATGTGTAATACATGCGCTTGAACCTTCCGACTTGTCATGCTGTTAAAGAAATGTGTACACACGGAGTTGATGTAAAAAATATGCAGATTTATTAATTACTCACTTCGTTCTGACGCCGTGAAGAAGTAAACAAACTTCTCAATCTTCCAGGTGTAGTAGTTATTCTGTCTTTATTTCTGTCTCGCATTGTTATTGAATTCGGACTTTTCAATTCGTTACTCTGAAATTTACATCGATGTATAGCGAGTAATTTTTTTAAACGAATTACACATTAGTTACCTGCAACGATAATCTTCCTCCGTTCTTAGCAGGAGTCGGAGGACCAGGTTTTTTATACGAGGACTGAACAATAAATAAAAAACGATACAAATGAATGAATTTGTCTAAAAGTGTAACGTAACATAAACGATGAACGTGAGACATACTTGAGTTTTATCCTTTTTCCTAACTTTCTGTTCAGGAAGCAAACTTTGACTTAAGCTGTCGTTAAATACGTCGTCCGCAGAACCAGTCTACAATTGAAACATTCTACAGTACATTCTGAGATGGAGCATCAAAATGACGTTACATCACAGATTGTATACCTTAATTTCTTCTTCCGAGAAGGGTAAGGGATGAAACTGCATTTCGGCAGGATAAGATGATTTCAAATGAGGTTTGCAGAGAGCGTTTCTTCTCTTCAAAATAGATAATCTGTCCTTGTCGAACGTAGAATTACCATCTCTCATGTCAGCTGGCAGATAACGATTAAATTAATCTCGTTATTCCGCAGAACCAGATTTAAAATGAATTTAACGAGTCTTTTACCCAAATAAATATTGTCGGGCACTTCTCCCTCTTCATCTTCCGCATTAAACGCGTTACCCATTGCCTGTATACTTCTAATACTGTATCTCCTCTCGTACGTTGATTGCTCTTGTATCGTCGTAATTTTCTGTAAAAGTTCATCCGGCCCTTCCCCCTTTTGTTCGTATCTAAAAAAAAATGGATTTAAACGATATCTGCAAAATATCTAAAAACAAACACTATTCTTCTATCGTGCAAAACGTGTACGATGAAACGATAATCTTACTTGGAAATTTTATTTTCTATCGACGAAAGTATTCTTCTATCCAAACACCGACATTTAGCTTTCCATTCAGCCAGTTCCTTTTGTAATTTTTCCTTCTCTTGTTGCTCGCTCAACAGTTTCTCGCCAATGTTCCAATATCGCGAGCTCATGTCTGTTACATGAGCCTTGTATTTATTCAATTCGTCCGCCTGCTTACGATACTGTAGTTCCATCTTCTTTTGCAACGACTCCAATCTCTCCTGTACGGACTGTTCTTGATCTTTGTTTAGCTTTCTTATTTGCTCGTTATACGCTGCTTTCTATAATGTTCATCACAGAAGTAAGCGAATCATAACGAAAGCAAAAATAAGAAATATTAACGTGCCTACCATGTTTTGTTTAATCTCGTCGACTTTAGATTTGTACTTATCGTGAAGTTCTCTCAATTGCTTCTCGTGCATCGCTTTAGTTTCGTCGTATTCCTTCTGTAGTTGTTCCAATTGCAAACACCTCTCCTTCAAAGCTTCCTCTTGAGTTTTTAACACCGCGTCCTGATTACTTCTCACTTCTTGCAGATTTGTAATCACTTCCTTCATCTTCATTTCGGATACAATTGACTCCTTCGATAATTTATTATACTTATCCTGCACAAGTTCCAACGTTTCTTGTTTCAGTTTCACAACCACATCCAATTGATCTAAACGAATTTGTTTCTCTAACAATTTTGTCTCCAGTTTTTTGATAAAATCCCTTGTCTTCGACTCCCATCCTGCTCGTAACTGCTTTTCACGTTCAATCTCTAATTTTAAATTAGCGATTTCCTCGATGAGACCACAAATTTTCTCATCTTCAATCTTTAGCTCGTCCGAAGCACTATGCGCTTCCTGTTTAGCTTCCTCGAGCTTAACATTTGCATCATTTAAATCGAGCAGAATCTTTTCATTCTCGGATTTGAGTTGATCGCGTTGCTCTTCAAGTATCTCTTCCATTTTTTTAACTTTCGCCAACTTTTCTTCAGCAATCGTCAACTTTGTTTCCATGCTACTTATGATTTCCCTGTTTCCTCTTAATTCATTTTGTAACGCAACGTTCAGACTCCTACTGACCTCTAACTCCTTTTCGTTATCAGCAAGCTCGATTTTAAGCTTCTCCTTAGAAAGTTGTTCTTCAGTACAACTGGCGTATAATATTTTACAGGTATTCAAAATGCTCTTGTCCTTCTTGTCGTTGTATTTTTGCTGTTCATTAATCTGGTTCAGTATATTCTCTCTCATGGAGAAAAATTCTGCCCTGAAAGTATCAATATTTTTTTTCAATGCTTTTATATGCTTCTCGGAAGTCTGTATCAGTGCATTTTTTCTGTTTATTTCCTGTTTGTACTTGTCCATATCCTTCTCTAAATCTTCTTTCCTTAATTCGACTTGTCTTAAATGTGAAATTTCCTCGGAATTCTTCTTTATAATACTATCAAGTTCGTCAACTCTCGTTGTACTATTTGTAACGGTTTCCTGCAGCTTCTTAATTTTCGCAATGTTCTGTTCATCTTTTTCCTCCAAATGAGATACTCGTGACTGGAAAGTTGCTACTCTTAGATTAGCTTCGTCGATAGCATTATTTTTCGACTTTAATTCCATTTGAATTGAATTGTACTTTCTATCAAAATTACATAATATCGTTTGGACACGTTCTATGAGACCGTCTACTGTACTATCGTTCAGGTTTTCCGAACAGTCGGTTTCGAAATAGTCGAGAACAATTTCTCTCAAGTTTTTACTGTACAAATCTATACAAGTTTTATATAAATTATTTTGCTCCGTCAGAGCTTCTATGCACTTGAGATTTTCGTTTACTTGCGACTTGACTTGTGCCATCTCATTGTTCAATATAGCGTTATTTACATTTTCGTCAGATACGGATTTTTCTAAATCTTTTATTCTGCCTTTTAAAGTATTTATTTCATCGGTTAAAACAGCTTTCGATTGTTCTGCATGTAATAAAGATTCCTTTTGTGAAGCGCACAGTGCCTCTAAATTCTGATTCTTAATTGTCAACGAGTTTTCCTTTTTCTCCAGGGAATCAATTTTCTTGTTTAAATTATTGACAGTTTCATCTAATTTCACTTCTGTACTGTGTAACATTTGTGTCTTCTCTTCCAACATCTTCGTTGCATTCTTATACATTTCAGCAGTAGATTCCAACTGTTTATTCGATGCTTCCAGTTGGGTCCTCAACAAAGATGATTCCTCCTTCGCTTCTCGTAATTGAATTTCAATCACGGTGCTCATGGTTTCGCTGCAGTTGAATGATGTTGAAAGAGTGTCAAAGGGTACTACACCGTCTATTTCAAAACTCTGATCCGCCACCGCTCCCTTTAGATGACCACGTAACTCGTCGTTGGTCATTCTCAAATTCGCCAATTCCCTGTCCTTCATCTCCATTTGATGTTCCATATTTTCTAAAATCCTCTCGTAATTTTCTATCTTTTCTTTGTAACATCCGCACTGCTGTTTCACGCACGCCAACTTCTTTCTCAGAGTTTCATTATCCGTTTCAAGATTGTGTATCTCACACTGTTTCTCCCCGAGTTGATCCTCCAAACGGTCTATTTCTTTCCTATAGTGTCGTTCAGAGTTTATTGCATTCTTACTTTTCTTACAGGACTGTGGCGTTTGTACTCTCAAGCTCTCTTCCTTCAACGCCTTTATCTCAGCAATCTTCTCTTTCAACTTTTCCTGTAGACTCTGTATTTTGCTTTGATGAATTTTCAAGTCATCCTGCAAATCGATTTTCTCAAGTCTCTCCACTTCTAATTCACTCCTCAGTATCCTCAATTCCCTATTCTTTGTTGTTAACAATTTATGACTTTCGACTGACCGCATGGTAGGAGATGTGAAAAATTCTGTAAGAGTTTTTGATTTCGGCGTTAAACAGATTCTCAAACCATCTTCTACCTTGGCAATCACGTTCTTTAAAGTTTCCTTCTTTATGATCTTTCCGTATGGTATAATACTTTCAAGAAACGCTTTAATCTTGACTTGTGTCTCATGTTGCAAGTTATTGCACATTGAATTTTGAAATAGTGATTCCTGAGATGCACGCAACAAAAACAGGGATGCTGTATACACGTGTTCCTTCGCTTCCAGATCTTTATCATCACATTCATACTCTGGATATTCATCTTGTATAAATTTGCATATAACGTTGTCTGCTTCTGAAATGTTTTTAACACCTTCCCAGGAAAACAATTCTATTAATTTTTTGTATACCTTTCCATCATCCAATTCTTTCAAATCTTTAATGTTAGATCCTAAAACATCTAAACAATTTATCCATTCCAATAGAATTTCACTCCACATAATGTAAAATG